ATCTTAAGGTAAGGTTAAAAACTAATTTTTTGTATGCTTGTGGTAATCTATTTTTTATTGGTCTTCTCATAAATTTTTAAGTAATTCTTCAAAATCTAGTAATGTCTGAGAATTTATAATATCAACATCTGTTATCTATGTCCGTTCTAAAAAGTATATCGCATTTTAAGATATTTTTCTTTCTTTTTTCTAATTTATCTATGATACCTTGTATATCTTTTATGATTATTGATCTTACAATTCTTTTAACAAAATTTTCTAATAAGTTTTCTTTGAAACACTTTAATAGTTCTTGTGATGCATATAATTGTTCTTGATATCCTATCTTATCAATTTCTTTTTCAAACTTAATTTCTTTTTTGTTTTTAACAACCCTTTTTATATTATATTGTCCTCTCTTATATTTGGGTTTTTTCATTTTATAATTATTCATAAAGATTAATAATTCTTTCAAATTTTTAGAAAAATTACTTATTAATTTTTTAAGGACTTAGATAGAAGATTTTTATTATGCAATATGTTGTTTTTAATATTTGTTTAAGGGCATTTTAGGTAGTTCCAAATGTTTGAAAAAGTCAAGGGCCATTTTGAAAAATGACCTCTTTTATTTGGGTCAATTTCATGTATTTCCCATTGTTTAAAGAGATTGCCATCTAAATAGAAATAAACAAATTGAAAAGAAAAAAAAATCATCTCCAATGCAATTTGACGAAGTTTTTATCAAAATGATATGATTGAAAAATAGATTGTTGACAACTCCGTCTAGATATAGTGAGCATTAGACATGCTAATTCTGTAATCATTCAAACAATCAAATGAAAGAGAACACTATGGGGAGGAGAATTGAGGATTGTGTTTCTATTTTAGATTATTAAATTTTCCAGCTCTTCCTTTTATTTATTTTTAAGACAATTATATATACAAAACAAATTTTATTATTTATACCATATTTTAATTCCTCAAATTTTGCTCATTTTTTGCTTTATGTTCATAATTTATTTATTTTTTGCGTTGCCTTCATATTGTTAAAATTTAATTATTTAGCACATTTTCTTTTATATAATAATTTTTGTCCAAATATTCTACTAGCATGTATTGAAATAAAGGGATCATATTTTGTCAAACTTTATATTCATTGTTTATCTTCCTTAGTGAAATACATAAGTAGCAAATAAGTTTTTTCTTATGCCTTTTGAGTGAATTTTTGGATGAACAGGATGTTGAAAACAATAGAAGGTTAAACACAAAGACACGATTAAAAAAAAAAAAAAATTGGAGATATAATTGCAAAATGTGAAGGTCAAGAACCTTGACTGCAATTAAAATGTGGGGTGCTAAATAAAAGACATAAGCAATAAAAAATATTGGGTTTTGAAAGTCTATATATTAGACATTAATGTTGCTCCGTTCTACTCACTTGAATGCCACATAAACTGCAATCCATAAAATTCATCGGAGACGCTCTTTGAAAAATTCCAATATGCCTAGCTAGTGCGATTGAAAAATTAAAATAAAAAAATAGACGTTATCTAGAGCTTCGTCCAAATGCGGAGGTTTAGTGATTATTTTTCTATTTTCGACATTAAAGTTTCTCTCTTCATCTTCAATTCATAAGACATCAATGCTCCATAAAACAGTTTAGTATATCAGTAGCTAAATTCAGCTACACTTGAAGATGGTGTTTTTATTGTATTATTATGTAAAATATCTCAATGTTTTGCATACCCTTTAGAATTTAAACTCTTGTTTGAGCCCTATTTTTTAGGAAAAAATATATTTTTAAACAGTATTTTGACACATTTCAACCACACATTTTTAATAAAATAATATTATATGTAAATTTAATTTTTTTATCTTTAATTACACATTTCACATCAATACACTATTAAAAAAATACATTTTCCTCGAAAATGGGGCTCAAACAAGGGCTAAATTATTTTGTAAAGTTACTTTAATTATTGTTTGACTTTAAAATTCTTCAAGCATTATTGTCAAATACACAAATCGATAATTGAATGGCGAGTTTAAATCTCGGGCATCTTGAATAGGAATCCATTTAGTGAAAGATCTGATGGTCATACTACTGTGAGTCTCCAACATCCTTCTTATGACATATGACGTCATCGATCAAATTAGTATTAATAGTGACTGTAATTTTGAAAAATATGTGATTAAAAATGAGTATAAAAAAAAAAAGTAAATTTCAATAATCACTTCAGGCCTCATATGAACTTAAAACTCAATTTTTGTAAATAAAAGAGAGAATTTCTTGTTTGATAATTTTTCTAATAATGAATTATTAATGATAACAAATTATTTTTGCCTTTTGGTGAAGTTGTTTTTTGAGAAATAATTATATAAAAAATATTTTTTGAAAGAATATGTGATTAAAAAATAAAAATAATTTTAAAGAATGTGAAAATAGATTTTTTTGAAGATGCTGAAATTAAAAATCAGTGTGAAAAAAAGTATTTTTGAAAAATGAAACCAAAATTTATATTAACCCTTATTTGATGCCCATTATTTCATTAAAATGAGTTTTATAATAGTAAATTGTTGGAGAATGTGTGATTAAAAGTTTGAAATTTTTTAATTTACGTACATAATATTCTATTTTGATAATACGTTATTGAAAATCAGTTTAAAGTTTTTTTTTTCATTTTAAATGAAAAATCAAATAGGGGCTAGAAATTGTTCAAAGGAAGCCAAAAATTGGCCTATTACCTTGTGAACCGATCCTATCTCAAAATTTCGCTCTTGTTTAGCCTTTGTTCGAGCCCTCTTCTTTTTTTTTTTCTTTCGTAAAACTCAATTTCAATTACATATTCTCACATAAAACAATTTTACACCTGGATCTAAAACTTCTTTTCATAATTTAATTACAAATTTTCAAAAGATCACCATTCAAAAGACTAAAATATATTTTACCAAAAAAGGGGTTCAAACATGGTTTTATTTTTCTTAGCACTGATTTAACTGACCCTAATTTTATTGTTAGCTCTTATGATGCATTTAATTGCGAGAATGAATTTTTTAGGAAAAGAAAATAAATTTTAATCAATTAACTTATGATACGAGAAATATAAATTAAATGTATTTTATTGATTTAATTTATATTTTATAAAATATTATATTTATTCATTTTTCAGATGACTGAGGGATAAATGAAAAAGAGTGAGCAAGTGAATTACCGAGAAAATAACAGCCATCCCTCCTATTCTTTTTATCCCCCCTTTCACTGTAGCCATCAGTCTTCCCCAACAGTTCCCACCTCTGCCCAAAACTCACGAAATCCGTAAATCGGATGTCTGCAGTTCTAATTTTCACGCTCTCTCAATTCGGCTATTGGGCAACTATATCAGGTACTCCCCAAATCCTCTCTATGTTTTTCTTCATCTTCTCGTGTGTGCGTGCATATCTTTGCTTTCTTACTTCCAATCAGGACTAGGGTTTGACGTTTCAATTTGGGGTTTCTTGATACGTCAGTGATTTTGTTGTAATTACTTTTGTTAGATTTAACTAAAGTAGTATTGCTTGAAAAAATTCACGCTGTTTAGTTGGTAATGTAAATAATATATTTTTTTTGCTCAATTCACTTATATGCTGCTGAAATCAAAATAATATTATGTTGACTGTCTTGCGGCAGTCCTGAAAATATTTTAGATACGAGCTGTGAACTACCAAACACAGAATGCAATTGGATTGAAGACGAGGTTACTTCTATGCTTGTGATGACATTATGGCACAAGGGTGGTTTGTGAGTGTCATTTGTCTCTATTGGTAAGAAAAAAAACCTTGGAGGTATAAGTACTAGAAAATGTAACTAGTATATCATCTACACGAATCGAAAGGAATTGACTTTTAGAGAGAGAAAAAAATAAAAAACCAAGTAATCCTTGAAAGTTTGTAGTTGTTATTATCATTAGCTGTGAAAAGTTTCATATAAGAAAAAAGGACTCCGCCTTCATTTGTAGGAGGCAACATTTGGATTTATTCATTATTTTTTATTGGTCAATCCCCAAATTTACAAAGGTACAAAATCTAAGAAACATGTTTTTATATTTTCTGTTCTTTTTATATCATTTGGAGTTCTGAGGCGGTCTTAGTTTTTGTAACCTTCTTTTTATTTCTTTCATGCACGCCAACACAAACGTACAATCTAACGCCACACCTAAGTCCATTAGATGCTTACAGGGTTTCTGTTGAATAAAGATTCACTCTTTTGCACAATTAGCCATTTTTGAGAAACCTTTTGCATAATTGTTCTTAATTGCACCATGTCCATTTTTAGCTAACAACAAAAATTTTTTTACTGAAAGAATTAGAATACTAATTTCCACCCTTTCCAAATGTGATTTCTATGTTATGTATGGCCGTGCCTAAGGGCATATCTGTTGAAGTAGATTCTTCTTTTTGATCAATCAAAACTCCTTCCCAAACTGACAAGCTTTTTCCAAAGCATAGCCAACCTTCCTACAAGAGATCTTTTCTTAACATCAAGTGTGTTGGGACTAGATGGAAATGAGAACTCCAACAATTTCTTTGTTTTCAACGCCTCCTAACGGGAATTGGATTGGAAAAAAGAAGGATTGTTGTTGTAAGATATCTAATGAAACCATCGCTGAAATTGAGATCTTATTAAAAGATATCACATTGTTCGAGGTACTCTAGATACTGTTGAAGTAAAGGATCGTCAACAAGGGCGTTCTAGTGCGCTGTAGATTCTTATCCAAGACTTGTATCATTTGATGATGTCACAATCTTTTGGAAACAAAAAAAAAAAGAAAAAAAGGAAAAAGAATCTTTTCAAGGGGGAAATGAGAGATATTTTGTTCAACCACATAAAATTATTTGATTATTGTCTTTCAAAGAATTTCCATGATACATTAGAACAATCATTTATAGGATTTAATGATTTCTAATAGCAGATTCATTTTTTTGACTCTCTGTATTTGGTGTAGTAATTTGATTTGGTAATCAAAATAATAATGAATAGAAAAGTAATGGCTTGTTCGAGAGACAATATAAAGATAAGCAGCGACTTCATATAATTTTTCAGAAACGTTTTTCGTTTAAAAAGGACAAAAAATATCTCATTCCATTTATAATCAGACAATCAGGGCTTTCAAGTGCACTATGAAATGTAGAATATAAAAAATGCTTTGCGCTTTTGTGTTGGAACTTATGAATCACTGAGGGTGAGTGTTTGTTTGTAAGTGGCGAGGACGGAGGGGAAGGTGGCTGGAGGAAAATTGGTTAATAACTTCATATTAAAGTTTGCAAGGCTCTACCTGAAAATTGGCATAATCAAAGGTGACGAAAAATCTGGATAATTAGAAATTCAGAAGTTATGCTCCTATCTTCCTCCCTTTACCTTGGATCTGCCATTTTGACCAAGGAGCTGTCCATGTAGTTCTCAAATTTTCTTAATAACATGATACAACGCTCATTTTTCATCTAAATCTAGTAGAACATATTTACTAGAATTTAATTAATCTTCATTTTTTTTTCTCAAAACGTCCTTCTGTTTCTCCTGCCTACTGAAACGTTTCTGCTTTAATTTCTTTTCCTAAATAAATTACTGGAAAAATATTTGGTGAATAAGACAAGTTTTTCTTGCTGAAGTTGAACTTTACGAAAAATAGACACATTTTCATTTGCCATTTTTTTGAGCAAACATGATAAGAATCTGTCCTTTTTTAAACTGCATTTTTTAGAGTTCTATACTATAGATCTGATACCAATCTGATGTTATCTAGTTACTTTTACTGTTAAGTTAATAGAACTTGTGGTGTAGTTTACATAGTTTATTAACTTCTTAAAGTTAAAATTTCATGTTTATAGTTGAAGAAGTTGAGTCTCGTTTACCCAGCCTCTGTTTACTTACTTCATTCAGATACATATATTCAACAACAGATTAAAATGAAATTTAATCTACTCTTCTATTTCTCAAACAATGACTTGTTCTTACTGCTGTTTTTGTTGAATCATTTGGTCAGAGTAATTTTCTCTGGGCTGCATACTACAGAAATTTCCAGTTCTATATTTGCTTATGGATCGGCCTCATGATTATGCTATGGCATTTGCTCAGCAGCAGCAAGTCACAAATATTCAACAACAGCAACAATATGGTTTTCGTCCTCAACATCAACAATTTCCTCCATCTGTTCATGGTCCTCCTTTTCTGCCCCCACATCCTCCTCTCCAACAGTTTCCATACGCACAGCAAATGCAGCAACATCAACACTATCCACATCCTCCTCTTCCTCATCTTCACCAGCAGCCACCGCCTGCCTTCCCACCGCATGTGCCTCCTCATCTTGTTCCCTCTCCTTTCCATGGTCCATATGACTCTGCACCACCCCCTGCTCCACCTCCATCTGATCCTGAACTACAAAAGCGAATTGATAAATTGGTTGAGTATGCTGTCAAGAATGGTCCTGAGTTTGAAGCTGTGGTTCGCGAAAGAGAGCAAGACAACCCTGCTTACAATTTCCTCTTTGGAGGGGAAGGCCATAGTTACTACCGCTATAAGCTTTGGGTGGCAACAAGACATCTAGGGGGTCCCTTCACCCCTCCTTTCCCACCGCCCTCTTCTTTGCCCATGATGCATCCTCCCAACCCCATAATGGGTTCTTCCCCTATTAATGCTCCTAATGCTGCTGCTGGAGTTTCTTCTTCGGTGTTTGGCGCACCTCACTTGCAGCAACCTCCTTTTCCACCATTCTATGAGCAACAGCTCCCCCACAAATCTCAACCTTTCATTGGTCATGGTCGTCCTGAATATGATCAGTCTTTTAGGTCTTTCAAAGGTTTATCTAGACCACTTCCTTCTGATGTTGAAATGGAGCTGAATGGTGTTCTCAACAGTCTCACTGGTACCAAAGAGTCGATCAAAGGTGCGAAGACTTGGTTTATGCAAAGATCTCCTTTTGTACCTGCCCTGGCCGAGGCACTGAGAGACAGGATATTTTCCTTTGATGATCCTGATAGACAACTGCATATAATTTACCTTGCCAATGATATTCTATTTGACAGGTAGTCTTCAATTGCTAAAAGCTTGATACTTCTTTATAAATTATTGATTACAAATTCTAAATATTTGCTGTTGTCATGTGAGCTTTTCTTCTTCAGTTTTAGTCATCTATATCCTTTCGCTTCCCCGATCACGTGAATATTTTACCTATACTTTTGCACTTTTTAAATCATATTGAAGTAATCTGTGGTCCAGAAATGTTGAAATTATTGAGAATGGCTTGAATTAAAAAAAGTACAAAAGGTGTCGAGGATTGTGAACTAGCAAGTTGAAGGGTACGTCAGCCTTCATAAGTTGCACTCTTAAGATCAGTATAAAAGCTCCCAAAGTAGTGAGTAACTTTAAGCCTTGTTTGATTTTGATTTTTGAGAAGTGATTTTGTGAAAAGTAACTTTATATTGGAGAATTTGTGGTTGAAAAAGAGTTTGAGGAAAAATGATTTTGGAAAAATCAAAATAAAACAAGGCCTAAGCCAATTTTTAGTCTTAATGGGTTTTGAGAAACGTACGTGGACATGCTACAAGGGTAGAGTATTAGGTTCTTACTCCGTTGATGAACTGACATTTGAAGGGTTGCTGCCGTCTGCATGGACTTCGTTGTCTTACAAGAACTCGAGAAGTTTCAGCCCTGGCATGCCAGTGACATTGCTTTCATAATTTTCAGCTTTTTGCTAAATATTCTTTCATGCGTACTGGCTAGTGCAAGTACATAAAAGCACTTGTAAAAGTCAAGCTATTCTAGTTTTGAAGTAGCCCTTTTTGGTGTTACAGGGCCATCATCATCCCCCTCCTAGAAAGCAAATTTATCATTTAGTCGTTTGTGATAAGAAGCATATATCGGGACATTATGGATATTTAAAATCTCAAGGGTTTCTCAGAATTCATTATATTTCTTCGACATATTTATATTTGGATTTCTGAAATATACAGCTTGCAGAGGCGGGTCAATCCTCATGAGTTGGATAAGGAGGCACTTGCATTTAAGCCAGTTTTAGGTTCTATGATGGCAAGGATTTACCACAACCCTTTAAACAAGGAAGAAAACCAGTCCCGCCTTCAGAAAATTTTACAATTCTGGGCTGCCAAGGACGTTTTTGATCAGGATACTATTCTTGGGCTCGAAAATGAGATGGTGAGTGGGCAGGGTCAGAATTCTCTTCCGGGTCCTCACAGAGATTTGTCTGCAGTTGCATTAGATCCTTCTGTGGCCACAGGTAGCTTCTGTTCCTTCTAGGCATTTTTGAATGAAATTAAATGAAGTATTTTTTCATGTAACTTAAAACATTCTCTACTTGCTCTGGTAACTTTTACTTCCCATGCAGGACCCCAGCAGGCGGCAAATCATAATTCATTACAGTGGCAGCCTGATAAGCAAAACTCGATTCGAAATATGGCGGTTCAAGAACAAGCTCCTCTCATACCATCAATGGCACCATCTTTAGCACCCCAACATTTTCATCCTACATCTGTTCCTTCCAGTGGGTTTGCATCTATGCCCGTGCCATCTTCTATACAACAATCAAATCAACCACCTGCACCTCATCTTGGCAAGGTTGGTGAAAATCTACCTCCATATCCTCTGTTCCCACCTGGTCTCATTCCCGGTATGGTGAGAAAAATGCAGATTGGTAGTGGGGTGCCTTACTCTCCCATGAGCCCCCTTGATATTCCCACTGTTATACCTCCTTCCAATATATCCCCATCTGAAATCAATGAGAGAGTGTCGAAGTTCTTTAGAGAGATTGGCGAGGTTAATCCATCTGAAGGAGCCGCAAAACCATCTGAGTCAAAGGACGCTGAGTATTATGAATACGAAAGAGAGCTTCCCATCCGTAAGGGAGGGGCCTGCATTCCTCCACCTCCAGGTCTCAATACGGACCCAAATTCTGAGACTTTTGACGATGGAAGTGTAGAGCAAAAACCCGGATCTAGTAGTTCTGGTAGGTTGGGGCTCGGGGCAATAGCTGATCCAAACGAGGCTAGTCAATATGATGATGTCTACAGCTCCTACAGGAAAGAAAGAAGCACAAATTACCATTCATCTATGAGTGCAAGAGCTGCTCCGAGGTAAAGCAGTTTAAACTAATTACTATTCCTGGTCGAGAGAGTCTAGAAAAGAATCTAAATTTCATGGTTGCTGGATTCAGTCAGTAGATTTCTGGAGTTGTATCTTTGTGCTTGCTTTGATTTATATTTTTACTATTTAGGTGAATACTTTGATGGGAGAATTCAAATATTTTGGATGGTTGATGCCAATTTTGAAATATTCCACAGTTCCACCAACTGCAATATGGAAACGAACCTCTTGTCAACAATGCTGCCTTTTTTTAATAATTGCATGTCAAGGACAACAAATGTTTACTTACTTTATTTTTAATAAAATGTTTACTTCTTTTTAAACTAACTTTTATTAGTCCACAAAAGTAACTTACTCGTCATTTTCACTCTACAGTTAAATTAACATCTCTCCAGCAAAGTACGGATTACACTGAGGCAGTTCCATTTGCAAAAAATACAAACCTCAATTACCTATGTTTTAGACAACAAATTCTTAAAGGACATATTATGGAAAAAAATATCTAATACTTGAAAACTTTTCAAGCACAAGTGTTCATTAAATTAACTAAATATGGAAGAGGATTAATTGTTTGAATGGTAAGTGAACTTTAACCTTTGTTTTCAAAATCATACATAAGCTTATGAATTTATTTCTTATTTATACATAAATTAATTTCGTCAGTCAAATTTAATGGGAAAAATCTACCTAGCAAATGATGTGATTACGTTGCTATGGCGTGCAGGGGCCGGGGGGATCCAAAATTATCCGTAGCCGCCGTCCCACCGACCTGGACCGCCGTCGCCCGTCAGCCCGTCGTCGGGTGCCACTGTGCCGCCAACTCGCTGGCTTGACCCCGCAGGCCGCAACCGCATCCCATCTTCCCAGTTCGGCAGTTCCCACATTCTTGCTTCAGCCGACTAAGTCGAGGTTTGGAGGTTCCATTCTGAAATTGAATCTTCATTTTTAATCTTCATTACAGTTAGTTAATCATTAATTATTTATTTATTTGCATTTCGCAGTTCACACTAATGAAATAGATAATCTATTTCTCTATGACCTCTTTTCTATGAAAGAGATAATTTGTCATTTTGTTGTAATTGGAAAAATTTGAACAATTGATGAGAATGGGTTTTGTTACTTGATGGATTTTGATTGTGAATAGTGAGTTTGAAATGAGAGAATTTTGGTTTTGAATTAGAACCCAATTCTTTCAAAATTTGGGTGAAATAGGATGCCTTTAATGTGTTTGATAAATTCCCCTCAAATTTTCACTGATGCATAGGGTGATCTGTTGTGGAGTCTTGTGGTGATTATAATTGACATTTGGAACGGAAATTGGAATCTTGGATTTCTGTGGAAAGTGGAAACTGATTAGTCCAGACTGGATGAAATTGGAAATTACCGAATACGTTTGTTTAGTCTCTAATATTTAGCCAATTTTCATGCTGATTGCTGATGCTTGCTTTAAGAAAAATTACTTATTTTTGATTTATATGACATTCTTAAAAGTAAAACTATTGTTTATTTTTGTATAATACTGGGTGAAGCACTGGAGCATTTTCATAGGCATTATGATACTATTTTCATAGTTTTTTTTGTTTAATTGTAGGTGATGCTTTTGATTTTTTGTAGTATTGTGCTATTTGCTAAGAAAATGGTCCAAAGGCTAAAAGGGTTAAGGAGGTTCAAATTTTCAAGGTTGGTTCTCATTTCTCAATCTCTGACTTTGGATGAAAAATCTCATTTCATAGGTTATAGCAAATAGTAAATTGGTTTTATATGGTTATGGTTTTATCAATTTAAGTTTATGCCTTTATGTGATATTGAAGTATCTTGTTTTTTATGCTTTTAGATTTAATATGGAAGAAGATCGACATTCTAACAAGAAAGGAAGAACCTTGTTGTCTTTTTTTTTTCAAAAAGTAATAAATCTCAAGATTCTCCAATTCCTACGGCTCCCATTCCTCCAATTTCATCCCCAGAAGTTGTACGGCCTTCATCTTCCAATCTTAATGTAGAACCATCTGATTCTATTGAACGGGACCCTGGAAAAAGAAAACAAATATGTGAACATCCACATAACGAACGCGATCAGATTAGGCGAGCTTATCTAAATGTTGGACCTTATCAACCAAAACTTTTGGAGTATCAGAGCAAAGAATGTGGAAAGCAGAAACGTCGATTTCAGGAACGTTGGTACAATCAGTTTCCTTAGTTGGAATATTTACCTTCAACACATAAGGCATATTGTTTTTATTGTTTCCTCTTTCTCAATGAGAGTACTCCACCTAATATTTCATCTTTGGTTACTATTGGGTTTGATAGTTGGAAGAGGGTTAACCAAGGAAGTAAATGTGCATTTCTTATTCATGTTGGTACAACATCTACGTCGTTTTATAATGGCTGTAAGAGAAGTGCTGAAGATCTAATGAAACCAACTCAACATATTGACAAGGTAATGCATTCTTTATCAAATGAGGAAATTCAGAAAAATCGTTTGCGTCTGAAGACCACCATTATGAGTGTTAAGTGGTTAGCATTTCAAAGTTGTTCCTTTAGAGGCCATGATGAATCTCCATCTTCACTGAATCGTGGGAATTTCATTGAACTGGTGGATGCATTTGGAAAAATGAATATTGAAGTAGGAAAGTTGTATTGGGTAATGCTCCCAAAAATGTTACATACACATCTCCAGACATTCAAAAAGAAATTTTGAACATTATAGCCAACAAAGTCCGACAAAGAATTCGTGGCGAAATTGGGGGTGCAAAATTTAGTATTCTTGTTGACGAAGCACGAGATGACTCTTCACAAGAACAAATGGCCATTATCCTGAGGTTCGTTAGAAGTAATGGAATTTTGACAGAGCGTTTTTTTGCAATTAAAAGTGTTAGTGACACTACCTCATTAAATCTTAAGAATCAAATTTCTGATGTTCTTGTCCGTTTCGACCTTCAAGTGCAAAATATGAGAGGCCAAGGGTACGATGGTGCTAATAATATGCATGGTTCTTGGAATGGACTATAGGCATTATTTCTTAAAGATTGTCCATATGCATACTATGTCCATTGTTTTGCCCACCGTTTACAACTCACATTGATTTCTGCAGCTAGGGATGTCTCAGATATTAATTCATTTTTTTCTCATTTGGATAGTGTTATTAATATGATTACATCATCTCCTAAGCGCATCAATGAGTTGAAAAGTGCCCAAA